GTACCATGTTTGAATCAGAAAACAAGAAAACATTCAAAACAAGTTGCCACAGCCCGCTGCATGTGAACACGTACATAAGCAAGCGCACGTCTAGCTACCCCTGAACATTTCGTGGTCAAAAGAGTTGCGCCCATTCTATTACACTACGTTATCTTGATCGTTCCAGTCTACTTGTTGGGCATAAGCTACAACATAACTGTAAGGGGCTCCTATTATTGGAGCAATCTTTTGACGCGTTGCATGCCGACTGCACGCCTGTTGGAGTCAATGCCTGCCGCATGGCCTACGTGACCAACCGCCTACGAAACTTTTCATTGCGCTTCAATTTTATGTGATCGAGGCTGACCAGTATGCAAGCGGGTCCCTACAAACCATATATGGCCGGCGGGTACAGACATGACATGTCCGATGACCCGACCGGAGTCAGGTCCCCAAAATAGCGCATACTTCGAACACCTCCGACCTGTATCCAATGTTTTCCCCTCTGTTTTATTGGAGTGGCGTCATCGACTGTCTTAATCTCGGCTACAAGCAGTATGGTTTGTAGCAGAGCGAAAGAACAAGAAAGCTAGATGCAATTTAGACTATGCGTGCGCAAGCAACGAACCGTCTCTTCACACTGAATGGACACCTAGACTTGCTAATGCGTGCGCGTGCTTGCTTCTTGATGTTTTTTAGCAACGGGAAAGCCTTCCCAATCCAACTACCCAGACTAAAACTCCTCCGATTTCATATGATCTCCACTTCTATTTTAAACAAACAAAGCCCCCAGACTCTCCGGGCCTACCTACCTTACAACAAAAAGATGACACTTCCGAACCTCCGAAAAGCGGAGGGCTCCAGCCTAAACTTCCTCGATTACTCTGTTCCTAAGCAGTGTCAGACTTAAGGGCGTACGTGAGGCGGCCGTCATCCACCCCCCGCGAGAAGTACCGCACGAGCAGCTTCCCGAGCGACTGCTCCTTGTCCTTACTCTCGAGCATGATGTCCATGTCGTACTGCCGCGCGATCGCCAGCAGCTTCTCCGGGAGCTCGTCGATAGCGTCCGAGTGGGCGCCCACTGGAGCGTCCGGCGCCTGCGGACGTCCGCAAAGAGCAGGTGAGGAATGTCGATGACGGCGTGAAAATCGGACAGCGTTTGTTAAGCAAACCTGGAAACTTGTCGCTCAGGTCTAGTCGTTCGAGGTGCCGGGTGGAGGATTTTCGGAAAAAGCAAGGTGCCTTGAAATGGAGCTCATCGAGAAGCGCTGAACAAGGACTATCCAGGTGCATGTCGTGACCCGGCGAGAGTTGGTACGCAATACGAAATGACATCCCGAAGCATCCTTACAATTTTCTTATGAAAACACACCCACGAGGTTCCTGACAAAGATACTTCTTGAAACCACGTGTCAACGACACAGGCAGTGAAGTGCAGGTGATCCATTTGACAAGAAAAGGGAGTAAAATTGGTGGACCCTTTGAGGAGCGGGACTTGGTGGGTCAACTGTGGAGAAGAAGACAAGAGCCACTTGCAGAGGCGCCAACAACAAATTGCACCTGACCAAACCAATTGACCAAAAGAACCGATAACTTTCAGGACGAAGAAACCCTTGGTGACCATCAATGAATTTCAATTTAACGGAGAAAAACGGTCAACAAGGGGGCAACCGACCTGCTCGCTGATGTGGCACTTGGGCTTCATGCCGCGGTCACGCCAGACCTTCATGATGCGCGCCGTGAGGGCCGGGTCGTAAATGTCGAACTCGTCCTCGCCGTAGCATTGGTGGTGGAAGTAGTCCACGCAGATGGGGATCTGCGGAGAAAGCAAGCAAGCTTGTTCACCCCAATCAAGCATCGCGTCCGTGCAGCATTTACTGCATCAGAAGGCGGGAATCATCGCTACTAATGGCAGGCCAGGCAAGTTGGCATACAAATCTGATACTCTGGAATCACGACTGAACGCAACAGTGCGAAGTGTCCACGAAGCTAAGGCGCCTGGGCAACCTGGGCAAGTGCTAGTCACACCCCTCCAAGGATTTACTGTCCTCAGAAAATTCGCCCTACGCACCCTCAATAAGAGCTAAGAGAACGTTACAAAGACCGCACATAAATGTCTTCGAAGAGCGGGAGCAGCAGCTTGGTGCAGTACGCCTTCTCGTCGTTTTCAAAGCGAGGACGGGTCTTAAAAGTCAGCAGATCGTTAAGCGCCCGAATACTTGCATATTGATTCAGAGGTTAAAAAATGAATAACGATGACCATACCTGGAGCTCTTCGGAGAGCGGGAGCAGCAGGTTTGTGTGGTACACCTTCTCGTCGTTCTCAAACACCAGCCGGCGCCGGATGCTGTCCGGAAGCCGCCGGACGTTCTGCCGGACGCGCTCGAGCGCGGCGTCCTTATCGCCGTATGCGCCGCCGCCGTGCACAATCAGCACGGAATCCTGGCGAGAAACACAAGCGGATGCGTCGGACAGATTCAGCACACAATCATAAGAACACCAAGAGAAGGGCAGAGGGAAAAGGGGGGGAAATGCAGAACAAAAAAGGAAATCTTTAAGCCCAATAGAATCTCTTTGGAACTAGACCATCTGAGCTAGGGAAAGAGAATCTGAACTTGACGCTCAAAGAAACCTCTCTGAAAGTACAATCGCAATGACTCGCTCAGACAGCATTCGGACGGATCAAAGCCCCTTTCGGACGCCCCAAAGATGCGTTCGGACGCACCTGGTCGCAGCCCATGGCGTCCAGAATGTCCGCGTGCATCTGCAGGTCCGCGACCGTCCCGTCCAGCACTTTCCCGGGCACCGTCCCCAGCTGGTTGAAGTGGCTCGGGTGGAACGTCAGCCGGTGGCCGTACTTCCGAGCCAGATCGCCAACTTCTCTCAACGTTTCCCGGGCGAACGACAGGTCGTACCGGTCCTTCTCGGTGACCAGCGGGTTCTCGAGGTGCGGGAAGATCTGGGAGGACATGCGGAAGAAGCGGATGCCGTGCCGCTCGTTCCACTCGATGATCGTCTTCAGGTCCGCCAAGTTCTGCAAGGGGGAAAAGGGGGGTGAAAAACGGGTCAATCCTGTACCCCGCAAACACCAACTTCTTCGATGAAGAGAGAAAAGTGGTACAGATACGAGGGGCCAAACGCCGAGCAGAACTCCTCCTCATTCGGATGACCCGCCGTGGCACTCGACGCCTTGCTTGGCACGAAGGTCTACGCTCGGCTCAAGCTCAATATATGAATCTCAAGGCAATAACTTGAACAAATCCATCTGGACACCCTAATGGATGCAAAACCCACTGGGAATAAGGAGCCAAAACTTGGACCAGAAGACCGTCAAACCCCCGAAACTAAAAGCCTGGATAACCGATGGCGAGCGCTTGCTTCCCTGGGGTTTCCATAAGGTGATAACCAAGAAACGCCAAGCGCAAAATTGTGCCGTCGAAAAAAATGGAACCCAGAATTCTAAAACCACTTGACACCGCCCTGTGGGCCCATGTTCGCAGCGCCCGGAGCTCAATCTCTGGAACAACCCGCAAATTAAACACCCCTGAATAGATTCTAGAACCTGTAACGCCGTCGAGCTGCACACGATTTGACCATTCCTAGAACACCAACCCCAGAACTCCACAAACCCGTAACCTAAGCTGCGAAACCCGCCCGGAGTTTGACCATGCAACTCGTGAGCAACCCACAAGTTACATTCTTGGACCTTGAATGTTGGAGTCAGATATAGTGTAACCCGTCCGTCGAAACCCTCACCTACATCGCCCGGAGCTTGACCAGGCAACTCTTGAGCAACCCACAAGTCTACATTCTCGGCCCTCATATTTCTGAACACAGATATTGCGTAACCCGTACGTCGAAACCCTCACCTGCAGCGCCCGGAGCTTGGCCTCCGCAGAGCCCTTCTCCGAAAGCGTCTTGAGCGTAAGGTGGCGCGAGCAGAAGACGCTGCGGCTCGCAGGCTTCAGCATGCGCAACTCGGTGCAGATGCACGCATACCCCAGGCGCGTCCGCAAGCCTGACAAGCCGAAGGGGAAGAGTTGTTAATCGAGGTCCAACTTTTCTTCGTGGTCTTCATACTGTATCACTCGTCAACGAGAGACGTCCCTCTGTCTAAGGATGCAATACGAAGCGTCTAATTCATTTCAGACTAAATTGAGATACTATGGAAGAAGGCGAGTAAGAGAAGGGTCGCCGAAGTTGAAATCGAGAGGAGTTAGCCTCGGAACTGCAGTTTCGAAGCAACTAGCCAGCCCCGGACTCCATGAAGCTGTCCCAACAACGCCTTAATTACTCAGAGCAACTACAGTAGCCAGCCCTAGGAACTCTGTGGGACAGCCGCCGGATTTGACCAAAAATAAAAGACCATATTGCCAAACCGGCCCAAGACATGCTGTTCTCGGGAACTAGGAACGCTTACTGTCTGTGAAGGAGACGTGCGGTAGAGTCTTCAGCCACTGCTGACGCTCGTCCTCGACCTTCCGGTCCTCCTCGAGCCTGCACAGAAACAAGGACAATTAAACAATGACGTTCATATTAAAATCAAAACAGTTCACAGAGCACCAATCGCTCTGAGGCCAATACACATCCAAAAGCACCGCCACTGATCAATGCTTTCTACATTGTCGGTTCCATCTGAATCGTTGTGGTGCTAATATGACTAGCATACCCAGGACGTGCATAGAAAGTTGGAATCTCTAGAATATCGAAGAAGTCCTTTGAATGTTTTCAAAACCTAACTTTTCCAACCAAATAAACTCGAAGCGCACTCACTGATGCTACCAAGAGATGGGATAGTTGGTATTCAAGAATCACGGGGTGCACTATTCTAACCACCCTTTCGGATGCCTCCTGAGAAAATGCGCAGCTGAATTTTTATGATAAGGTCCAACAACCAAATACTGCTCTTCTGAAGATCGGAACACACGCAAGTATTCTCACCAGGCCTCCTCATTTGCAGCAGCCTTTGCCACTGCCCTCAGTCTCGCCTTCTCCTGCCGGATCGCCTTCTTCTCTTCTTCTTCTGCAGCCTTCTTTGCTTCATCCTCTTCGTCGACCTCCCCTTCAACCTCCGCTTTCACCTTGACCGCCTTCGGCTTCCTCTTGCGGTTTGGCTTTTCAATCGGTTCATCTTCATCATCAACCACACCATCTTCTCCCTCCTCTAGTTCAGGCTTCACCACTGCTTTCTTGCTCCTCCTTGGCTTCTTGACTGGGAGCTCATCCATCTCACCATCGTTCCCAGCGGAAGCGATCTGTTCAGCCCCTTCAACCGCAGCCTTCTTTCCGCCCCTCTTTTTCGCCACCTTGGGTTCAAAAACCTCTACCTTATCTTCCACAATCTCAACGGCGCTGACCTCAGCGCTGACCTCGATGCTGACGTCAGCAGGAATGGACCGCCAGGGGCTCAAGGTGTTCCCATTCCTCCACACACGGTTGGGGGCGTCCTTCCTGGCCCGCTTCACCTTTCCCCCATTACTAGTTTCCTCCGGCACCTCTAAGTCCGCGCCTTTCCTAGATCTCTTCTTCTTCCCCACTTTGGTTGCAACATCATTTTCGACACTCTCCAGAGCAGGAACGCTGGCCTCTACCGCCTGCGCCGCCTTTCTCGCCCCCTTCTTAGCTTTCACCGGCTCTTCAATCTCCCCCACCGGAGAAGCAACTGACTTCTTCGAAACCCTGGCCTTAGCCTTAGGCTTTGGCTTTGGAGTCTCCTCTCTTCCCCCCTCCAGGTAATCATCTCCTAAACCCTTGCCCTTTAACCCCGGTTCATCGGGCCCAAACGTCTTCTCAATCTGCGCGCGCAGGTACTCCGCCTGCGCATGCGTGAGCCCGCAGTCTTCATCCTCCTCTAGTTTCTCCTGCGGCAGGAGCTCCCTCACCGCGGCGCTGTGCACATTTCTCCTGGCGCTCCGTGCCCTCTTCCCAGTCCTCGTCCCCCCCGCGCCCGTCTTGATTGTGACCTCAGACGACATCATGCTTTGCGCGACAACCGTAGACCTGCTCGCTTTCTTTGCACTCACCACATGCTCTCCTTTCTTAGTTCCTGGAAGCGCCACCCCCCCAAAAGCCCCTACAGAAGGGGTTACTCCTGCAGCACCCCCCAGGGCCCCTAAGGAAGGAGTCATAGCTGTTGGCGTCTTTGGAGAGCGTCCGGCTTTCCCAATTACCAGCTTGCGTCTCCCTGGACTTGCATGTACTGTCTGCTCTTCAGTGACTAGGGTCGTGCTCACATGCACAGTCTTCGCAGCAACAGGCTGCCCCAGAGTTGCGCCCGGAAGGGGGCTCGCATTTGGCAGTGACGCAGCTTTGCGGCGGGGCATGTTTGTCAAAGCACAGCTAAGATGCTTGAATACTGAAGGGACCGAGTGTCCAATCGAAGCACCCTGACCAAGACTGGAGGAAGGCAGAACTCTGCAAGATGAGGCTACGCAAACTGAGCTCATTGAACTGAAGCTCGCTCTTTTCAGAGAAACTTGCAAGCTCGATGCGCCAGAATTGAGGCTCCAAGTACCAAATTGTGCAGCTTGAGAAGTGCGGGAACTCGCAGATGGTGCTAGAAGCGGCGTGCCAAGCGTGCGGGCAACGCAACTGTGAGCAAAAGCCCAGCTCTGAAGCATGCACGCCCGTGATGCAAAACGCATGCTGCTCCTGCAGAGCGAATGCCAAGCTGACCACCCCTGCCTTTCTCAAATCCTGTGACTTTTCTGTTTGTGCCTCAAAAGCCTTTTGAGAGTTGCTGGGCTCGCTTGGCCCATCAACTGCCAGCTTGATCAGCTCATGAGCGCTCAGCTGAGGCTCAAAAGTGGCCAGCTAGCAACTCTTGAGTTCCCTGTTCGCGAACTGATCTTCCCGGTTCACTTTTGAGATCAGTTTGCCAGGGAGGCGACGTGGGCCCTTCTCTTTGAACTTCTTGCGGAGGTCGCCGCGTAACTGGCCGTCGAAAGCCGTTTTTGAGCCCTCCAGCTTTCAATGCAGAGGAAGATATTTACAGCCTTTGTAGGCCTGGCTCGCCGCTAGGTGACGTTTGACGGACGCTTCTCTTTGCGTGCTGGCGACCAACTGAACTTCCGGTGAAGGAAGCTCAGGCGGAGAGCAGGTTCCTTCTTCGTCCTCTTTCCCAGCTTCTTGCGTTGACGAAGCGGGCGCCTCGCAGGGGGTTGCGCAAGCTAGGTTGGCCGAGCGCCAGAGGTTTGAAAGCCTGCAGCCATGGGGCGTATGCACAGCAAAGGGTAAGGAGGCTTTTCAAGTTGCTGAAGCATGTCGGCGGCTTTGCTTTAGAAGACAGCAACTGTGGTTGCTAGGTTGAGATGGGTTTCGGAGGCTCCTGTTTTAATCGACGAACGGCGAGTACAGATGCTTTCACAGAAGTAATTTGTTTTCCATTGTGCTTGCACTTGCAACGGCTTCTGTTACTGGCGTGCGTTGGGTCTGGCGCGTGTTAGGCAGTTTGGCAGGTGGTAACGGTTTGCTAGAGGGTATCTCAGTACACATGCTGGCGACCATTGTCTTTTGTGCAACATGGCGGTAACGGATTCTGTTGGCAGAAATAGAAGAATGGCTTGTAGCGCGTTGTAGAATGATACCATGCCCTTGTGCTCATCTACTGATGGAAGGGCTCTGATGGAAGGGCTCTGATGGAAGGGCTTTGAAACAAGTCCTCTCTTTCAAGCGCTGCAAAGAGCTTTTTCCCTTGAGGACTTGCGCAAGCAGATTCATTCGGACGTTACATCCATGGCGCAATTGCTCTTATAGGGAGACCCTTTTGATTTTAATACTTGGGCAGCCTGTCTTCAAAGCATTTGTGTAAAAGTAGACCCTATCTTATATTTGCCACCACCTTCTCATCTCTACTTCTCTTTCCTTCCGCCCGCAGTAAGGGTATGTCCGCTTCGGCTCTGCCGTACAAGCGGACTCCCCCCAGCTGGCTCAAGATCACCGAGGCCGAGGTCGACGAGCACATCGTCAAGCTCGCCAAGAAGGGCCTCACCCCCTCCCAGATCGGCGTCATTCTGCGTGACTCCCACGGCATCGCGCAGGTCAAGAGCGTGACCGGGTCGAAGGTGCTGAGGATCCTCAAGGGCAAGGGTAGGCTCGCTTGGCGGCCCAGGGGCTGAGGGGGTTTGCTGGCTAACCCCGGTGTCACCCTTCTCAGACCCCTTGTGGTCCCCCCCTACTGTTTTAGGGTTGCTTTTCCTGTATGCTGCACTGCCTGGCTGGTTCAGCCTGAGCAGTGAGCTGTCAGGGGGCAGGGGCGCAAGCCCTGGGAGTTGTGTCTGGCTCGCTCGCACAGTGAGGCTTTATCATTGAGCCCTCTGTGTAGTCGTTCTCCTTATTGATCATGCCACTGAATCGATGGTTGAAATTCTTCAATCAGTCGGGACCTCTATCGAAGCTTTCCGCAGAGTGCAATTCCTGAGTTGGCTGTTAAGCATTGCGTGGGTTGTAAGAATTTGTATAAGGATTGCCTGATTCTGCACTGGAATGTTTGCTTACTTATACTTATTGTGTGTTCGCTGTCAATAGGCCTGGCCCCTGAGATCCCTGAGGACCTGTACCACCTGATCAAGAAGGCTGTGTCTGTGCGCAAGCATCTGGAGAGGAACCGCAAGGACAAGGTAAGCAGTCTCACAGAAGCCGCAGCCCGGGATTCCTCAGGAAAGCTTCGTATTTGGCTGAGTTGGTCGAAGGAAGATGCTGACCAACCAGACATTTTGGTTGTGTGCAATAAGCGCCAGGCGGGTTTTCGATTGTTGCAATTGGACATTGAGTCACTTCGCTGATGAAAGTACATCTGTTTTTTCTATACAGGACTCCAAGTTCAGGCTGATTCTGATCGAGTCCCGCGTCCACCGCCTTGCCCGCTACTACAAGAGGACCAAGAAGCTGCCTCCCAACTGGAGATAGTAAGTTGCCGTTGTTCATCTAACTAGCTTTCTTCTCTGCCCTCCTGGAGTGCCTTCTTCGGTTGGTGGTGACACTTCTCGTTGCTTTGAAGCACCTTAAAAGATTCTGCTTACAGTGGTCATTGTCGACTGAAGAAGGGATTCTGATTGCTTTCTCAAATGGCTTCTGAACACGATTTCGAGGTGACGAATTGACTGCAATCAAACTTACGGGAGTCACTGCCTTTGTCTTGCAGCGAGTCCGCCACTGCGAGCACTTTGGTCGCTTAAGTGGTTTGTCGAAAGCATCCGAGTGAAGCCAGTAGTGACGGGGAGAAGTGTACTTGGTATAAAGTTGGTTCATTTGAGCCTAATACCGTTTGCCTGGTCTTGACACTTCAGTGCCAGATGTTCACACGCATTGCTCGATGATCTGAGTTGAGAGTGCCTCACATGTTTGCTCTGCCCGGTTAAGCATGTCATGGAGTTTCACGAGCCTTCTTAGGCGTGTGTGTTATGATTAGAAAACTGAAGTAGGACTGGGCGCAAGCAGTGATTGTTGACATGCATGCGTGCACGATGGCGCAGACGTGACCAGCTATTTGCTATTACAAGAGGATTGAGCGTAGGTGCTGTAATTCTCAGAAACCAGTCATTGCGAAGTTGGCTATGCGCTGCATAATGGTATAAAGCTTTTGGATCTAAAAGTTGAAAAAAGCTGAAGTACATAGCCTTAAGGCCAGCTGGATGTTTCAAAGTGACTGCAGATAATTATAGTGATATGTCATATGCTCGATGATTGTTGCATGACACTGGCCACCGTCAGATACGATGCCTGAGGTGATGAGAGCTGTGTGCAATGTTCACCGTAATAGTACGTCAGTACAAATTATCTCGCCTGTTGCATGATTGCAGACGGTCCACTTTGCAACTCCAGCAGGCGGCTGCGGAACATGCGTACTGTGCCTGGTGCAACAGTTGACGTGCAATAGGTATGCTATGGCAGTACAGCGTAGCTACCGCCCTCACAGGATATAGCTGCAGCGCCAAATGGTTCTCGAGGAGTATTAAGATCGGCGAATAAAACTACATACGCAGAGCTTCTTATACATGAATCAGAAGTTCAGCTCAATTGCGCTGACTTTACAGCTGGATCAGTACAACTTGTACTTGAAATTGTACTTGCACAATCTGTACAACTTGTTTATCGCACTCAGATGCTTACTAAGCTGCGTTCAATATTCAATTATTCGACCTCATCTTCCAATCATTGTGGCTTGACGCCATGACCACTTTCAACTCATCATCAAACAACTTCCGTCGTATCATCATCTAATCAGCCATCTCGGCTTCTAAGTGAACCCGTCTTATCTTTACCCATCTGATCAAGCCGTCTTGTCTTCTGACAACACCCGTCTTCTTATCTATTGAAAGTCTGTTTCACCATCTATTTGTTCTTCTGAAAAACTAAACCAACTCAGTTTCGTCATCCACAGGAACCGGCCGTTGCCGGGACCTTTCAAAGCGCGACCACAAAGACTTCCTCGGAACCGGAATCAATTTCGTTAAGAAGTCCACCGGTATGCTGCAATGTCACCAAACGACAGCACGTCAGCATGTGACGGACTATGATCGGAATAAGCCCAAGTTATACAGGTGCAACACTGAAGCAAGCGGATCCTGCAGGTCCTACTACGTCACTGTTGGATGACGTAAGGGCAAGAAAGAATGAAACAGAAAGTATGAACCTTGGACTCCAGAGAGACTGCTTCAGGGGCTTCTAGCACGATTGTCGAAGCACAGCGACTGTCACGAGGTCAAATTGACAAGTCTTAAACTGAAGGATCGCCAAATTGTGCCAGGAGGAGAGTTACCCCAAACCGCAGAGACCGCAGATTTTCTGCTTTGGTCGAGTTGAGGGGCCGTGCTCATCTCAGCCATTCTGGGCTTTAAGCAGCCGCTCTACCTATCCTCGAATCGATGAGATATTCCACTCTATTCTGCTGCTTTGATCTCGACAGGGCGACACTGCAAGCTATTCTTGTCATGACATACGCAGAGAAAAGTCGCTTGTGGACGTTTTACTGAGAGCTACACCGAGGACTCTGCCACTAATTAGATAGCTAGACAACCAGTGTTTGAAGAATGATACGAAGAGTAACGACGAGAAAGCAGCTGGATACTCGATCATTGCTCTGCTCACCTGACTGCTCCAATGCCTAGGCAGATCAGCCAGTGGGACCAGCTCAGAGAAACGGTGGTCGCGAACGCTCCCGCGTACGTCACAAGCACAAACTGCGAGCACGGGTCTCAAATGACGTCAGCCGTTGTCTCGGTTTACTGAGAGCTTTGCTCAGCTTCTGCGTTTTCTCAAGATTCAAAACTCTTTTCTAGCAAATCCAGATTGTGCACTACACTTTAACCAATGCAACTTGGTGGAATGATGTACCGCTTTGGTGCAACCAGTACAGCGCACTTGCTAAAGTGAAGGCGTTGACGCTTGAGGTTTTGAACAATGAAACGCTCTTATGCAAACACTTCAACGCTATCTGCCAAATTAGTGGAAAAAGATATTCTGTTGAGCACTACCATCATGCTGGCGCAAATGCATACGAGTCAGTTTGAGTCGCGTGCTTAATGAGAGTCGGAAGCACGTGGCTTCGTCTCACCTGGCCAACGACGGTGACAACTAGAACGGTGAGGAAAAGCATGTTGGTGAACAGCCCCTGGAAGACGTTGAACTTGTTCGGCCGTCTGCAGTTGATCTCGTTGAAGACCTGCGAACAAAACAGACCCCTTTTGAACCCAAGCCACAACAATAACGCGGAAACGCAGACAAGTCCTACAATGAAAGGGCGCAGCTAGGAAGCATGCACGCGTGCGTCCCACTCAAAAGCGACTCGAGAAGCGACTGGAGATTCCCGCACGATTTGCAGCCGGTAACCACGGATAGTTAAGGGCTGGTTATGAAGTGGTTATGTGTCCAACAAAAAGACTTGGGCGATAACGAGCTTCGGAGCAACTGTGCAGACCGCTTCTCTGTCCGATGATCTGAGACTCAAGTCTGGTAACTAGGCTGGTTAGCAGCGACAACTTCCTGTACCGTCCGCTACGGGTAACGCATCAAAGTGCGAAATGCAGTGGATCGTCCGTAAAGGCAGCACTGCCATCCACATTTTATTCTGGTTAATCGACTCAAAACAAGGGCGTTCACAATTTGTAGAGCGTGTCGACCTTGAGGCTTGGGCAACAGGAGAGTCTCCGGCGTTCCTTACATGTTTGTGCTCTTGGTTCGCGGATGGAGGCAGTCCAAACGGCAGCAAGAAAGAATTGCAAACAAGGCCGTGTTGGACTTGCTTGTCACCTTGCTTCTGTCCCTATCCGACCATGGCCGCAGTGATTCCATTGGCCTATTTGAACCACAAAACCAACGGTTCATAGGATAAAAAGCCTTTGAAACCAGAACGCCGCACCTGACACAAAACGAAGGCCGTGAAGATCAGCGTGATCTGCTCCTTTTGCGCATGCGTTTTGTGCTCTCCCGTGGGGTCTCTTCGCTCTGTTTCGTGCAGCCCAAAGATACCCCCCCCGCCGAACTGGAGCGTCAGAAGCACCGCCAGCTGGTACACCGACTGCCCCAGAATGTTGCGCAGCATCACGTTCGTCACGAGCGGTTCCCTGCAATTCCGGGTTAAGGCATTTAACCCCCAGTTGGTAAAAGAAACTGGACAGTGGTTTAGATTGATTCGAAACGGCGGGGCAAAGCATCACGTTCGTTACCAGCGGTTCCCTGCAAGTCGTGTTTAGAGCTTTAACCTCAGTTGGTTAGGAAAAGCGGCAGTGGTTCACAAAGTTTGCAACGGCGGTGCAAAGCATCACGTTCGTCACGAGCGGTTCCCTGCTGTTCGAGCTAGAGTTATTGACCCCACTTGGTCAAGGAAAGCGGACGTGGTCCACAAATCTGAAATGGCGGTGCAAAGCATCACACAATCGTCACGAGCGCTTCCCTGCGATACGGGTTCAAGAGTGGGTTAGCGCCCGAGGCAGTGTAGTTGAAGACTTGGCCGGGGATCCTTTGTACAGCACACGTCCTTACCGCGTTGATTGCTTTGTTGGGCTGCGTTTGACATGATGGAAACGGCTTCTAGAAGATCTGAGCAAACGCAGACACACTCTTGTGTGTCGCGATTGGAATCAAGCACACGGCATTAGATGGGTTTCGGTAAGTCTATTCGTTAACCATAAGTTTTGTTTTGATTTCTCACCTGCGCCCCACGGGCCGCTGCTCCATGAGGTCGTCAGTTGGCGGCTCTGTGGCCAGCGCCAGAGCGCCTAGCGTATCTTGAATCAGATTGACCCACAGCAACTGCAAAGAGAAAGAAGGAAGATTCAAGAGGTCAAAAAGTACCCAGCGGCGCATATCGTCGCTACGTCTGATCTCCTTGTGTGCTTAAAAATAAGTAACCGTGCTTTCAGTCTTTGGACGAGAATAAATTTCTAAGGAAGAGACGGCGGAGGCATGGGAAGTACGAAGACATGATAGTAGGATGAATGTACGTCTGGCTTTCCGAACCCGACTGCAATTAACGACTTACCGTCTAATCAAAGAATCATAATTTGACAAGAGGACAAGAGGTCTGCCTTTATGAAGGAAACGGACGTCCGGGGCTCACCTGGACAACGGTCAGTGGCGCGCTCCCGGACGCGACCGCGGACACGAAGTTCACGGTTAGCGCAACCACATTGATGGTTAGCTGGAACTGCACGAACTTCTGGATGTTGGCGAACACGCTGCGGCCCCACCGCACCACCTGCAGAGCGAACGAGAACGGAGGATCTTGTGATGTGTCCGCTGGAAAAAGCCGCTATCCCTTGGAGTGACAGGCTCGAACTTAATGGAGAAAAGACGGTCGAAGAGCTGAACAAAGATTCCTGTACAAGCTGAAACGAAAATGGGCTGAAACGACGTGCGGCGTCTGGCCACCGGATAGCACCGGAGGGTTCGCACGAGCAGAATTGAGAGTCTCTACTGAGCTTCATGGCCAAGCTAAGACGACGCGTTCCATGGGAGAAAAGCGGTTGCCGGGTCCTCTGATTGCACCGCGAGATGCCACCCTTCGCCTTTGAGGTCAGCACCCAAAGCTTCCACACCCAACACAGCTCTGCGGTCCAATCGACTGGCATCACGACGCAAACCATTGTCCGAAGTTACAGCGTCCGGAGCTCCCCTTTGAACCAATCTCAGTGCTGAGCTTTGGATCCATCCGGACGTTTCCGTTCCCCCACCTTGACGCACGACGCAAAGTTATCGTCCAGAATTACAATGTCCGAGCTCTCCTTGGCCGTCTCCGTTCCGGATAACCCCATCGATAACCCAATATCCGCCTCCCTCAGCGCGGGCGCGTCGTTCGTCCCGTCACCGGTAACCCCGACCACTTCCCCCGACCGCTTTAGCAGCTTCACGAGCGTGTGCTTGTCCGTCGGAGAAGAGCGCGCGAGCACTTGCAGGGTCGGTAGGATTTCGCGCTGCGCTGCAGGGGGGAGCGTTCGGAACTCGCGGCCCTCCATGGCGACCCCCCCGGACGTGAGGATGCCGCACTCGGCGGCGATGGCTTTGGCGGTCGCCAGGTTGTCGCCCGTAACCATACGGACCTAGGCGGAAAAAAGATTAGCGGGTTAGGAACTAGGTTAAAAATCGCAGAACTCGTTACGAGCCCCCCGGGCGTGAGGATGCCGCAGGCATCACGTAGTCCTGTTTGCTTTTGAGGGTTACGATGTAATGGTTGAGAAGCATATTGTTTCGGAGCAGCGACTCGGAGTAAGGGTGAGCCAGTTGCTACACCGTGTCAGAAGATGGTAGATGGTAGGCGCTCACGGCCTGGGCTCAGAGCCTGAATCCTGTCCCTTTCAAGGAAGATCATGATTGGAGACAGGTGACGCTTTGCAAAGGTAACTTAGCGAGCTCCAAACGGAACTTGTTGGATCGCTACTCTTCCAGTGCGATGAGCTCAGAACGCAGCATAATGTCATTCAACCACGGCGAGTGGCCGGGCGCAAAAAGAGGACAACGAAAACAGTTCTCTTCTCTACTATCGACCATGCCAGAGTACCACATAACTTGCAAACGACACTAATCTCGAAGGCAATAAGCACATTGATCACGGGAATATTAAGCGGCTGTCATCACCATGACTCCCGCTGCTTGGCACTTCGCCACGGCCTCCGGCACCCCCGGTCTGGGGGGGTCCTTGATGCCTACGATTGCTAAGCAGGTGAGCCCCCCCTCGGGGATCGCCCACCGCTCAAAGTCGTCCTCGCTCTCTGGGTGCTCGCGCGCGCTCAAATCTCGGTAAGCGAGACAGAGCGCGCGCAGGCTGCGTTGGGCCATGTCGTCGATCACCTGGTTGAGCTCGGCTCTCTGGAGGGAAGAAACGAGAGCTTGAGATTTGTGCGGTTCTTTACGTGTTCGATCACGTCGATTTTCCAGACCGTGGAAATTTTCTGCTCAGCGCAGAATCAGTTCTCCTTAGCGCAGCTGCCTTCAGATACGAAGGTATTTGTAAGCGGCGTCCCGAGGATGACGAGTACAGGGTTTTGAAGCAGCAAAGTAGCAAGTGCAGAAGTGTGACCAATTTTCACGTTGAGCACGCTTTTGAGAAGCAAACTCAGAGCTCGGCGACGTACGCGCTAGAAAAGCCAAGGTCTTGATGGGGCACACGAACGAATAGACCAGAGCCCGAGTTCAGTATGCGACAGCAGTACTGCACTCCTTCTCGAAGAATATCTCTCAACACCTTGCACTCCTTCTTGAAGGATATCTCTCATCACCTCGATGACAAGTAAAGCAGAAAGAAGTAAGAACGAGTACTAAGTAGACCATCAAAGAGAACAGAAGAAGACTCTCAGAAGGAAAATGACCCCACCTTCTCGTCAGTCACAACCTGCAGCGTTCCCGTCTCATCCACAAAGTGCGCGCTCTCCTCGACTATGATCTCCGCCGCGCCCTTCCAGTGCACTCTAACGCTCCCCGCGCTGTCCTTTACAGCAACGCCCATCCGCTTCTTTAAGGAGTTGAAGGATGATACTGTCAACACGCGCGAGTGCCCCTTCACTTTGCCGGGACTGCCACCCAACTGCGAAATGAAATCGATCAGAATCAGATGCAAGGGCAGAGTAGTCATTATTCCCATATTTGCGGCAAAGCGAGACTACGTCAGCCGATATGGATAGGACGGGGTTGCCTCGCACCAGTCTATTGCTAACGGCAAACTATTGCAACTCAGAAACGGGGACAAGAAGTTCCAAAAGCGATGAAGTTTAAACAGCCAAGCTCAGCCCGCTTTCTATGCAGTATGCCTGCCAATGAGCGAAGTGTCAAAAGCCCTTTGCTGACAAATCGCTCATTTTGCATAAGCAATTCTAAGCTAGCTCCAAACGACGACGACTCGCCAAGAGGTTCGATACCTTACCTTAAGACCCCACGCCAGGACCGCTGTCTCGGTGGGGCTTCCGGTGACTTCCGGTTCCGCTGAGCCTTCCGGCTGGAAGACGCTTCCGCTCGTGTTCTGGAACACGCCCTCCAGCAGGACGTCCATCGCCGGCCGTCGGAGCTCCACAGCCGTCGATTCCACGTCGCGACGCTTGCCAGCCACCCAACTGGTTACCACGGACATCTGCGGGGCAAAAAGATTGGACGGCGTCAGCGTTTCGTTCGGCTTCTGATATCGTTAATAAAACCTACCTAATGCTTCTGGATGCAGACTGGCTTGCTCCCTTCCACATTTGCAAAAGGAAGGCGCTTGTTCAAGCTCCACAAGATCTGGAAGAAAGGCAACTTGTACCGGTTCTACGAGCAAGGAGGAGACGAGATCAGAACGGATTCACCGAGCAAGTGTCACAACCATTACTGCTCGGTTGGCAAGCTTGGCCGCACGAAGTTCTTGCAGCAAGGCTTGAAACGATGACGCCCCTCTAAAGCAGCATACTACTCACACTTCCCTGAACTTTTGAACAACTGGATAAAGCCTGACTCTCGTCTGACACAGGTTTACGCTTGAACTTCAAGGCTTTCTCTTCCCTGGTGGAATTTCGAAGACCGTTTTGGGTTTACGCACCTGGTTAAGCGTGAGCGTGCCGGTTTTGTCGCTGCAGATGGTGGTGGCGGACCCCATGGTCTCGCAGGCGGCCAGGTGTCGCACCAGGGCCTTGTCCGCCATCATCTTCCGCATTGAGTAGCCCAGCCTGCGGAACAGCGGAACCGGAACTGGTTCTCCATACTTCCCTTCAATCGCGGCAATATAGGACCAACTCAAAACAATTTTGACTGTTACAACACCGGGGCCTTGTCCGCCATCTTCCGCATCGAGTAGCCCAGCCTGCGGAACAGCGGAACCGGGACGGCTTTTACGTGCTGTCAACATTGATAAGCTAGAAAAGACTGACAAAGTATAAACTTCGAACGACAGAACGTCGTAAGCCGTCACCTGCCACCAAGCCGAGCCTGCGGAACAGCGGAAACGGAACTGGCTTTCCAAAGCGCCCTTTCGATAGAACACGCTGATAGAGTTGAAAGGACGAGGAAGTGTCCAACACTTAAGCCCAAAGATCCCAGCTTAGCTTCGTCAGCATTACTTGAAACGAATCCGTCGGGGAGCCACTTTCAGATTGTCTGGGATCAGTCGATTGTGTGACCACCCTACAAACGTCACATTTCATGGTTTCTCACAGGAACACATGGGGCCACAAAGCAACCGCTCAGTCCAGCCCGGATGACGTCAGCTCACGTCAGCGTGACGGCCAGGGGCAGCCCCTCCGGAACGGCGATGACGACGACGGTGACGGCGATCGCGAAGAAGTTGACGATCTGCTGCAGGTCCTTGCCGCGGAAGTTGTGGAAGTCGGTGGTCGCGAACCATCTGAAAAAACGGAATGTCTCCAAACCGTCAGCATAAATTTCCGGAACCTCTTCTCGTTTCATCTTAGTGGGCCTTCCGTTCTGTTTGCGGATTTGTTCAGCAACTGGTGGAGGTAACACACATTCCTTGTCGGCCTTCCGTTCTGTTTACCGATTTGTTTCACACATGAGCTGAGATTACATATAGTCCTTGTTGGCCTTCCGTTCTGTTTGCGGGTTTGTATTTTATATGAGCTGAGAAAGTATGTATGTAGTCGTGAACAGCCTGGGTCGTTTTGGGTGGGCATAGAATGTCAGCATGGCACCCAATCCGTGGTGCTTCTACTATTTTAGGGAATGGGTTCCACTTTTGCGTTGCCAATTTGTTTTTCTGCACGAACCATCTGAAGCAACGGAATGAACAGACACCGTCAGCAATAGACTTTTGACAAGTCTTATCCTTGCTCCTTGTAGGTCTTCGGTTCTGTCTGCCAAACTGTTTGCTACGAGAAATTGGAGAAGATGTCATCGTGTATAGCTTCGGCAGACGGCTGGGCAAAGAGTGTAAGCAAGAAGACGCTCCTTGAATTGTTCTGTTGTATCCTCGGATTGCGTTGTGTCGACACAGGAACTCGAATGAGGTTTAGCATGCTACAGTGCAGTATGAAGGGAGCGGCAGACCTTCAAAGGACCCCTAGACAGAGTAAAAGGACATCAGAGACTGTTGTAAGCCTGCGGCTGCCAAACGACCTTTCGGCAGACTGGTTCACGTCGTCCCTTGCCAATTGGACAAGCCAACGTTTCGGCCTGTCGCTCTCGGAACACTTCACTCTGTTGGGTGCTGTGGGAACGTCCTTATAGTTTTCGAATGTCTACTTGTGCGCTCAGGGGTGGAATCGATGTCAACCACCGTCGAAGCAACTGAAAAGAGAGAGAGTGTCGGAAAAAAAGGGGCAAACCGGCCATGATTCGGTAACAGACGACTGAAAGAGCTTTCATAGCTCACGAGGGAAGCGGAAGACTTTGCTGTTGGTTGAGGCAACCAGCGCCAAAGGAAAAGAGCCCCCACCTGATCATGAGTGCCAGAAATACTAGTGCCGCCACCGTCAGGCCCAGCTTCCCAAGAACTGTGGCCACCACTTTGAGCCGCGCCTGCAAACGGATGAAGGCTTTGAGAATCGTTAGTTTCGTGCACTGCTCAGATGCTTCGATCAAATGAGTGAGGAGGAATTCGATCTGGGAGCCGTTGCAATCCAGATGATACTATTTCTGTGTCAGAAAAACATGACTGTCTCCGATATCCACAAAAAATGTTGACGAAGAGACAACGATTAGGATCTCGTCAGCCAACTACCCGCGCTCTAAATATCGTTGTTTCAGTATCCAAGACAGCCTTTGGCTTTGGAAGATATCAGTAACCTTGTTTTTTGCTCTTCAGTGTTCTCTCACCTACCGCGTCAGTTGATAAGCAGACTTATCTGACTGATTCAGATGAAAACTAAAAACTCTCATACACGTTCTTTCTTGACATCAATATCCAAGCTCCCGGAATCGGACGCGTCATGAACCAGTACTCGACCCACAGCTGTGAAAACGGAAGTGCAGAAATGTGGAGCATCACCTGCAGCGGCGTCTCCTGCTCCTCGCTCTCGTTCAGCGTCGCCATGACCTTGCCCCACTCCGTCCGCATCCCGACCGCGGTCACCAAGAGGCGTCCGAAACCGTCCGAGACTTTGCAGCCGGACACCAGGAACGGGTGTCCGGCGTCCTTGTGCACGGGGTCGCTCTCACCGGTCATGCTCGACTCATCGACGGTCAGGGAGTGGCCGGACACGAAAACGCCGTCCGCAGGGACCTGCGGACCGTCCGTTTTGTCGTGTCAGAAAAACCCTCAGCGAGTCAGGGGAAGGGAAGTGAACATCGAGGAAGTGGCCGATGACCACATACGAACGCCTTGCGTAAGGACTGTCGAAGCTGGTCGTGGGCGGATTTTGAATGAATAAGTAGGGGGAAAACTTGCGCTAATCGAGGCTGGTTGAAGTACTGTTGGTCCGGCGGTTACTTTGGGAACGTTACTCGCAACTCCGGGACACTGAACTGAAGAGATCGCGATAACCAAGGTTGGTTTGTAGTTGTTCAAATGCCCGTCTACCAAGGGAACGTGGTTTGTGTCTGGTATGCCCTTCGAACGAATTGGGTTAAGGGCGAAGCTACTTGTGGAAGTCACTCGCTGCTCTGTTTCTCTGTCGACTGTCCATTGCTGTGATACTTTAGAGTCCCTGCTAAAAGCGTGAATGACCAAGCAACTTGAGAACGCCACTTCAGTCTCGAAGCCTAGCATATCCAAGTAATCAAGAGTCCGCAATTTTCCGGAATACTAGTGTGGGCTCTCACCTGATCCCCGATGGCTAAGTGCACAATGTCCCCGACCACGAGGTCGTATATGCATACCCGCACCCGCCGCCCGCCCCGGCTGACCTGGAGCATGATCTTCCGTTTCTCCGCGTTGAGGTCGCGGAACTGGCCCGCCTGCCGGTAGTTATTGACGCCTAAAAAAAGTGGGAGCGCACTTCTTTTATTGATGATTATACTATGCCGAGTCAGAGGAAAACGTTTGGCTAAAATTGCAAGTCGATCCAGAAGGTGCTCTTTATGTTAGTTTTCAACCGGTGAGCACGTCGTTGATTTTCAACCGGTGAGCACGTCGTGTCCTTCACAGACAGTCTAAACGATTTTCGTTCATCCCCTCTGTTTTGAGTGCTACTTCCGACATACTCGTCGGCCTAAGCAATCGGACAACTGTCCCGTTCTAGGCGACCACTAGCGTGTCGCTTGCTGTTCTTTACCGATCCAAGCTGACGCCCAGAAGGTGAAACCAACCTTTTCATTTGTCAGCAAGCACCGAGGACTGACTAACGTTGTAAGGCAGAGGAAGTGATCACCCAAAAAGGAGAAGAAAGTGAAAGCGCTTGCTTTCAGCTGGATCGAAGGCTTAGGACCTTCTGAGAGGACAAGAGGACACGAATTGTCAGAAGGGCTGGAACCCCTGGAGGCCCCATATCCTGAGTACCCAGAAGCCTAACAATCCATTCTCCTGAGCGACTTCGAAACCCTAAGATCCTAAAACCCTGACAATTCCGTTAATGAGAGACGCGCCTGTGCCCAGAACCTCCGGAGTGGATAAAATCGTACCTGTGACCAAAACAACCAGGACAATCGCAAAGACGATTCCAGCCCCGTCATACCAGCCGGACTCCACCCCCTCAGTTCCCAGGCCTACGCCCAGAGAAACAACGGCGCAGACTGCCAGAATGATGAGCGTCGTGTCTTGCATTGCCTCGTAGAGAAAGGACTGCGTAAGAAAACGAAGATGTTGTGAGTCGTCTGAAAGTAAATAGATGGGCAATCCCATGCTCTAGTCATGAGGAGGTGAAAAAAGGAAGAGGAAAAGGGGGAACAAAGCAGGCAACAAGAAAGTTGAGGAGACGGATGATCAGGGGAGCAATCTAGATGGACGAGTCTCCTGGTAGTCTTTTTAGTGACAGAGTAGCTTAGAGAGAGCCCGCAGGTAGGACGATCGATTTGATAATGAAGATTAGTGACGAAAGCATAATTGTTGGAAGTGTCATCAAGAGATCAAGAGAACTCGAAAGCCTCATTCAAAAAGCGCTGCCTTCAAAACCTCGAAAGCAACTTCAGACAAAGCGTTAGGTCAAAATTCACGTGAAAGGGCAGGCACGTTCTTTGGGTACCCTCCAAGCTCTTCCCGCACACTCTGAAAATTACACAAACTTCCACCAGTCAACTCTCGTTACGACTTTTTTGCAACAGATGCCCTTGTGACACCCGAAAGACTTACAAGCAAGCTCCTTGTGGGTTTCTCAGGAAATGTGTTGGTGCCGAACGCATCCCGCCGCTGCTGGAGATCGTCCTCTGTGCCAGGGAGGCCACCCTCTAAATCTGTGCGCAGTTTCTTCCCCAACGCCTCAACCTGCGGAAAAGAACATTCTTTTCTACGCGGTTACAACCAGAAACCTGTGAACATTATCATTGGTTAGCAAGAACAACACTTGTGATAGGCGAAAAATGAGTGTACAAGTCGCATAGGACAACAAGCGGCATCAAGTGCAGTAGAAAAGGAGCTTCGGTGCTCAAGCGGATGCTCAAAACCAACTGATGCATTCAATCAGACAGCCGCAAGGGAAGACAGAACTGACCCTGCCCAGGTGTTGAAGATACTCAATGCCACCATCTGCTGACAATTTGCTGAGCTCATCAGCAGTGACACCAAAGCGGGCCTCCTGTCCCTCCGAACCTGCTGGCGCCTGGGTGGGTTCTTCCGCCATGGAAGAAAATCGTGCGCGACACACAATACTTTGGGATGCCCTTTCGAACGGTACGGAACCTAAGTACCCTGGAAAAAGAGGAGTATGAGAGAGATCTTGAAACTTCTTTTGCAATCTTTTCCATCAGCTGGGGCCTCTGATGACACCCCATAAGCTGGGCCGTAGTGTAGAATTGGGGAGCGTTCATGAACCGCATAATCATGTGGCGGTTCCAATGCAATGCGAGCAAAAAAAAAGTTAAGATGGCAAAGATAAAAAAGCTGCGCAGTTACGGCGAAGAAGACGAGGCCTTCATCTTTTAATGATTGTTTCTTCGTCTCCCTGGTGTCACTGATCAGATTGCTCAAGCTTTACTCTCATGCAGGTCAGGGATCTCAGCTGAGCTCTGTCCCAAAACAGGCTCGCTAACAGCTGACGTGTGCAACTACTTTTGAAAGCTCTTTACCAAAGGAGGTTTCATCCTCTTTAGAATGAGGTCCAATTGAAGGATCATCTGGCCACAATCAAGTGCAACAGCCAATGATTATGCGAAGGACGCTTGCATCAAGGCAACCAGATACTTTGAACCTGAGGCAGCTTAAGTATGATAATTGACAGAGCTGACAGCACCCCACTGAAATTCAGAAAGACCTTGTTTCAATGACCAGTGTACTCATGACAGAGCTGCTTTCGCAAAGACGGTCTATCGTGGAAGAGAGATAAGTTCAGAAGGAAAAATGTTTGACTCCTAGATCTCATGAGCTCATCAAGTGCATGCGGCTCTACCTTGCCCCTTCCAGAGTGTCTGACGAAGTCTCAAGAGTGTGGACGATCCAAGAGCATGCTAGAAGAAAGATAACGAGCAAAGATCTCTTTCATAGTTTATGCAAGTCTATATGCAAGGTGTTGCAACAATATTACCCAACCAACCAGTAGAAGGGGAGTCTCAACATCGCAGGCGCACCTTAAAAGTTACACTTCGGCTCAGTATGTGCAATGCTGACTGCCTCTGTCCCTGACTGGCCCCACATGACCAGTTGTGAGGTATCAGCAGTAGTTGGTGACCATTAGTTGGTGTCCAAGATGAAGGGGTGAGCTACAGAACGAGAATAAGCAACATTTGGGCAAACTGGAGACCGTCAATGCCTGTGCTACTCATGCGTTTGCAGAAAGACCTGTGCGAGGATCACAAGCTAGATGTATAGCTCCCAAGCAGAGCTGAGGACCTTCGCAGCAGTCTTACAACGGAGCTTTTGCCGAACGCCCTGGAGCGCCACACTGCTAGCTATCTCAAACACGTCTCCGCTTTTACTGTATCAAGGAATGCTGAGCAATCCTCCCGCCTCCCCAGAGTGCTGATATCTCGTCCAAGAAGAAGTGCGAGGAGCCAAAACTGAAAATTGAGGGGCAACCATGGCCAAATCCTGGAGGCTAGAGACAAAACACCATGTTCCTCCTCTCTGCTTCTCTCGAAGAGTGTGGAGATACAGTGAACCTGAATCCTCCCAGCGCGAATCCCGAGTGGCGGCGAGAGCTGACGAGCGGAAGCCAAGTGTCAAGTTGCTGGTCAACGGTGTCCCAGATAAAACTCTTGACAAGGGTAACGTCATTTTGTAACTGGTACCCCCCTAGTGATAAATCGACCCTTTTTTGACGAGCCTAGTACCCTAGCCCCCCGGGGGGCCCCTGCGGGGCCACCAGGCCTCAAGCAGCCAAACGCAGCCAGAGCCTATCTAGGATGGTTCCCCCAATATACCATATGAACTCTTGCTTGCAAGTTGCAACATTCAAATGTGCGGTATTGTTTTGCGGGTTTTGGGCCTGCAGCCTGCTAATATATTCTACTGGCATGGCCGTTTTAAAGACGAAGACCTGCTCATTGCTTCTTATACCCTACATGTCAATGATCATACGGTATATTTATTTGGAGATCAAAATGGCCCTGATTATAGAGGGAGTTCAGAATGACAGTCCAGTTGAGTCTAGTAAGAATCTGATGTCATTTTGCTTTTATGAACAAGCATGCAGCTGAACAGATCTCAGTGTTTTTGGGCATTTTGAGAAGATATTATGGCCGTCTCTGGCGCATTCGGCGCAGGCCTCAAGCCCCCCCCCCCTCCGGCTTCTTGTGGCTGCACCGACCCTAGGCCACCCCCCCAAGGAGGCCCAGACTTCCTTTGCGTAGCCTCGGGTCCCTCCCCCCCAAATATCTATGGGGGGGTACCAGCTACAAAATGACGGTACCCTAACTGTCAGGGCCCGCTCAGGGGGTGTAACTCTAATCAGCGTAACTTTAAAGTAAGTTCAGAGGAGTCCATGCCTAAGCTTGGGTCGCACGTGGTTCAGGTACAACCACATTCAGACCGTCCGATAGCATTAGCCAAACCCTGGACACGGTACGGTCGGCGCTGTCACGACTCTTCAAGTTTATCCGCGGCGCGCGCGCGCGGCCCCAGCTCAGCTTAGCCTGGTCCGACGTGCGCGGCGGCAAGCTCGGCCGCCGCGGCCGCGCGGCACCGCGCTTCCAACCAGGATTATGCGTTTGGCCTTGTTGATGAACTTTGTATCTCAAAATTTGGCAGAATACAAATCCGATCCACGCGATATATATATCACTGTGAGGAAGTTAGACGCCGAATGATTAGGCGTGTGAAGCCTAATAACCGCCGACCACTTACCAGAGCACGCGCGGAATGTTTAGGCGTTATCGGCGAATTTGGTAGCCTAATCCGAGGCCTGAACTTAACCTAGTTTCGCCTAAGATTCGGTTCGGGAAATAGAAGCCTAAAGAGACCTGATCGGTAAAGCCGCCGAATGTCGCCGACTAGTGAAGGTTCGTTAAACAGACTTTTCGATGCTGCGGCTACGGAACAGCTGCATTTGGCAGGGAGTAATCTCCGACGTCGATTTTGATTGCCGTGCGCTGCGGGTGTTGCAGAACTTAAGGATGCAGCCCCGCTTGCTCCAACGGGGATTCGAACCGGGGCCCGCCCGCGCACGCGATCTTGAAGCTGCCACCGTAACTACTCCGTCACACCTGCAGGGAAAAGCAAAAAAGATTTGCAATATTTCTGTGCGTCTTGTAAGTTATGTAGTGAACAGGCTGCAGCCTGGCTGCAGCTCAAGAGTCAAGTGCAGAGCTGAGCATCTCACTGTTCAGAGCAAGATGGAGGGCCTGCAAGGATGTAACGGCACGACTGCGTACCGACTTCTGGCTGCGCACCAAACTCGCGGCCGCGCATCGTCCGTTATTATACGCTATCGACTTATTTGATATATCGAATCACTACACG